CTTGAACCAACACTGTAAGTGTTAATGATTTCACGCCTTCTGGGAAGCAATATCTGGGAATTTAGATCTGAGATCATGCTGTTGATTAAGTCCCATACACTTATGGCACTTATAAGTTACCATTCTGTGGAGTGAATTGGTTTCAAATGGAAGGAGTTTGGATTTACATGAAGAATAACATTTTACAGACTTTGTAGGATTGTGAAATCTGAGAATTGAGCAGAACAAACAAGCTGGAAATCTCTCATTTGTTGATCATTGGGAATAACCTATTTGGTAAGTGTTGCTTTTATTCACTATGGACAGAGGAGCAGAGAGGGGTGGACTGGGGGGGGGGTTGTGTGTGGACAGTACCCTGTTGAGTGTATTTCCCCGGGGTATTTTGTTATCGTGGGATCCACATTCCCTTGGAAGCTTTGAATAAAGAGAGACTACGCTATATCAGAATGGGATTTCTTTCTTTCTCACATCTTCCAGGGAGACAAAATAATATTTTGATTTGTTTTAAAGAGGTATGTTTATTCGTATAAGACTTTCTAACAAGAGAGTTGCTATATAGCTGAATAATTAAACAGATGTCAGCACTTGTTTTTAATTTTTTGGTTAGGGCCAGACTGCCATAGACATAGCAGGAGAACACATGGTATACCATGATGTATAATATGACATCACATTTAAGATTTGTTAAACAAAAACTGAAATCAACTACTTTTCTTACATCAGATTTTTAGTTGGATTAGTTCATAGTAAACTATATACCAGATCATCGTGCAATATCAGTTTAAAGTGCAATATCATTTCACAGTGCAATATCAATAAGTACTGATATTTTACTTGGAATATCTTTCAGAATGTGTTGACTAAAATATATATCAGTGGAAAGCATATTTTCTCTATTTTATCATAACAAGCTCTGAACATCATGGGTTACTATGTACTTTATTTTACATATCATTAACAGCATGAAATTGTGAAATATAATATTTTGATAAACATGTACTTTATGATACAGTGTCCTGCATGTTGTGGGCCACCTGCCTAATTGATTTTAAAAAGAAGAATAAACAAGAATTGAACATGCTTTCTATGGAAATTGAACAAAACTTATATATTATGTATTGCACTGTTCAACTTACTGGCCTTTTACTAGGGAATAAAAGAGTAAAAATATAATCAACCAGATGGAAAGTTCTGAATGAACTTGAAGAAAAGTTTTATTTTTTACTGCATTTTTAATGCTGAGCTATACTATGTATATGTGTTTTTAACGTTCCAGGTGAGCACCTGTGCACAACAGTACTCCTGCTTCAACACATTATACGTTATTATACCCAGGACATTTCTATACAGGGCCAGCCTCTCAGTGGGTGTAAAGTACGCTAGACATGCTGTGTGTCGCACGCTGTGTAGAGCTTGCATGTTGCGAAGTTGGACCCGCTCAATAAAGTTTTCAAGTTGGCACAGTTTGGTGTTGAAAGGTAATGTCATTATTTTTATAAAGTATCATTAGTTTGTAGTAATATATCTTATTAGTGTAAATTTCATTACTCGTTTGCATGTTTGATTAAAGTAAGGTTCGTAATTAACATGAATTAATAGACATATTATACAATCAGGTTTTATAAGTCTGATTGTTAAAAATGAAGTTTAGGATAGGTACTTGTACATACATTATGTGCTTGGTGTGAATACAATAGCATATTTTCACAGTTAAAACTCATTGTAAATTCTAATTAATTTGTGGATCTTCTCAGCAGTCTTACAAACAAAAGTTATATTGAAGTGGGCAGTATGGATCTCTTAAGAGGAGTGAATTAAAAAGTAGTGTCCTTATTACTTACTAAAGATTCCATATTAGAGGTTATTAAATGATCCAAATTAAGAAAAAATCCCTTACAAGCAAATAAACAAACAAACAAACAAACAAACAAACAAACAAACAAGCAAACAAACAAACAAACAAAATAAACAAATAAGTAACCAAACAAACAAACAAGCCCATTGGTTTTAAGATTCCCTTCCCTAAACCACATGAGTTTATTCTGCAGCCCATAAATACCAATCAAATCTCAATATTATTAATCAGCACTCTGAGATTGTAAACATAAAATGTTCCATTTAATATATTCTCTTTGTGAAAAACCATACATCATTCATTTCAAGGATTTCTGTGACCTTTTGACTGAACAGAAAAATGGGGGTCCCATTTATGAATACAGGAAGTCTATGATAAATGTTATTGCCTTTCGTTTAATAATTGAAATTAGAAACATTTGAAATTAGGGATGTCTTTTTATTCTGTCAATGCTCAAAAGAATAAGGCAATTCTTTAATTGTTCATATTGTTAGTAGGGGTTAGCTGTCCTTTTTATAATGTGGTTGTTCTTTAGTTATGATCTTTACTCAGGTTTTGGAAAGTAACTCAAAGGTCTTAAAAGGTCCTATGTAAATTTTGTGCAGGTTTATATTAAAACTGCTTCCAGGGGCTACAGGTCATAGCACTACCTCTAAAGCATGAGACATAATGGAATTCTTGATGTATAAATGATCACATAGCTGCTGAGAATGATTTTCTCCTTTCATATTTTATTCAGTGCAGTGGCCACCTGTACACACCAACCCAACATTCACCAGAGCTGATGGACCATAGAACATCAGGCACCTCATGCTAAATTATAAGTCGCTATTATACCCTTTTCAATCGTTGATTTCAATATTAAACACCATACTAGGCTCTGGGCTTTAGGGTAGGTTCCCATGAGAAGTTAATATGAACGCTTTCTTTGGTCTTATTTTTACATATGCATCTGCAATGTGGGTAAAGTTTAACCTTTTTTGTCCTTTGTTGGTTTGATCCAGTGCTACCCATGTAATATGACCTTGACCCTTTGACTTGTGATATTGCAGGCTAGTTGTCTTATTTATAAATATAGGTGTCAGGGTTCTCACCAGGAAATTTTTAGAACCCGGAAAAAAATTCATCATTCACAGCATTTCTCCAGCGGCATTCATTCTTAGCACTTGAGACTGGCGATATCAGGTTTGAACATGAGAAAGTCTGGCGCGCCGCCGGACTCTAACAACTCTACCGAGATCGCTGGGTGTTCTGATACACTATGACATCATACTTTTTACCATTAGATCAATCTGATGTCACTGATGTCAAAGCATAAGGTTCCATGACTATAATTTCATTGTTTCAATTAATTCAGCAATTTGACCAAGAAGTACATTGTCATTCTGTTCACTGTTGTACATGCACACATCTTGTACATGTGCTGAATGCAACTAAGATTGCTTTAACCAACATTATGATGGTTTTTAACTTTAATTGTTTGAAATATAACATAACATGCATCTGTTGTCTCACCACATTTGTTCACATACATCATTATTTAGTACTATACATTCTATGTTCAAAGATATCAGAAACACACACAAATATGTGTTAAAGGACTTTCTATAGATAAACTCCTCAAAATTAATAGTGCTTTTTTGCTGACCACACAGTGGTGTTCATTATGACTGGTTTAACAGTGCACTAAAAAACCTCAGATTGCTTTTCATCACCTTGTGATCAACAATACACATGCTTGGTTATACAAACTTATTTTAATGATCTAGATGAAAGTCACTCTGACTGACTTTCCAGGGGCTTAAATAAACTTGATTTTAAAGATACTGAAATATATCTAAAATTAAATCATGGGTGACACAAAAAGCCACTGAATAAACTAAAGGTTGCATTTCCTCCTTGATATTGCCAAAGAAAATAGCCAATTGTTATAAAAATAAACGTAAACTGATTTTGTTTATTTTGGAAATATTTGACAAATCAGTTTTTGATATTTTAACTTGTTGATTCAAACTTGAGTCAACTTGAAGAAAACCACACCATATTAGGTTACATTGTGTCCTGTCCAAATCTACATATCTGACTCCCATACAAAATAAATTCAGGGCATTTTTAAATTATGCCAACTATTTTATTTGATGTAAATTTTTATTCCTTGCTAGCTACTTAATCAATCTACATATATTATTATATGATAGCACGGACATCTATCTGATAGTTAGGCTTTAGATAGAAAGCAAAGACACTACTTTCTTGTAGTTTATTTAACTGTTTTCTTTTGGTACAAAGAGCATGACAAATCAATGTGCTGAAAAAACAGTCCTTCATACCAGTATGACACCTTCTATGAACCCCTGTTCAATTTCCAAAATGCCCCAAAAACAAATCTTCTATCCTTGTATAGATTTGTGATGAAGTTCTGCCAAGGAGAATGTCCCATTTTACTTAATGGGAATATTGCTTGACCATCTGTCATTTTAACTTTCAATATGGATTTATATACCTCAATTTATCACCTGATAGACCCTTGAATGACTGGATAATTACATGTTAAGGGGAACTACTCTTCTGGAAACTATGTAGAATGTACAGGGTGTGCAATTTTAATTTGACAAATTGACAATATTTGTTACATGTTTGCCCAATCTGTAATATGGCTTGTACAGGGCGACACTGGCATAGATGGGGAAAAGGGTGGAGATTGCAGAACAAAACACAGAGAGGTTTAGGAAAAATATTAGGATCATAGGTCTATTCCTATTGTTGATCCACTATTTACATCAATTAACATTTCAATATAAATAATTTTTGATAAGTTCCAATTCTTATGACAAAGTAATGGGATTTAGTTTCCCTGTTAACCAAAACAATAAGACTGGAGAAATTTACACACCCTGTATCAACCTCAAAATAAGGCACACATATTTTGATACACCCTGTATTAACCACAAAATAAGGCACAAAGAGTGATGTGCACTAGCTCACAGCCAGGCAAGGCAGCTAACACACCAAGCAAGGACCACTTGTAGCTTTAGTGTGGAGAACTAAACATCTTCTTCAAATTACAGTCTGTGTAGTTGAAAGGATATTTATAAACATTGAAGTATTTATATGGAAAAAATCATTTTTTACCTGAGGGAAGGATCTTTTTGGAGATAATATATCTGACATATCAAAACATAATGTAAGTACAATGTTTGATAGAGTTTAAATTGTGTTGTTTAGGGAGTAGAAAAATGGAGTTTAAATATGAAAATACAAGTCAGGTTGATCTGATCCTGACTGACTCAGAAATTCCACATTTAATTGTAAAATAATCTAAATGTTATTTTAATGAAGTCAAATTGTCTGAGTTGAATTCCATGAGTAATCTCTAATTTCACTTGTTGATGGGTTAAATTAAGAACATTACATCAGTTCTACCAAATGATTGGGTTGTACTGTTTTAATTATGGAACAGAGTCAGGAAAACACACTGTGTAAGTGAATCCATATTGAGGAGTCTGTATAGTGCATGTCTGTGAAATGGGGCTGTTAATGTAAATTATACAGTTATACAGTTGGACTTATGTAATAAGAGGCTCTGGAGAAGTGATTTATTAAAGGGTCTTGTTTCTTGTATTAGTCATCTGGGTCACATGTAAATTAATGATTCTGAATAACAGGACACTGTTTTACTACTAAGTAGGGCATGTAGGGACCAAAGATGCCATGGTGTCATTTTTGATTAACTTATGGAAGATGTATATATTAGGATCAAATCATTTTTTCATAATTATTTTTGTACAATATATTGAGCTTGAGCGCTTTCAATCACATTTTGCTGAATTATTTAAAAATACATGTATGGATACCCAATATACTTCAACTTGTATACAGATCCCTTTCCAAAGTTGTTTTACACAAAAATACATTTTAAAATCAGTATCAATGCTAGGAACAAAACCTACAAATGTAGATGAAATTAAATGCATGTTACAGGCCTGTCAACTTGGGAACACCTAACATGAGTGACTTACAAATGTTGAACACATTCTTTCGAAAAATACGTGAAAAGTCAGAACAAAATGCGTTCGCTTTTTGTTGGCATTCATTTTTTTAATGTCTAGGCAATAATTTCTGAAGTTCTTCTAGAGAAATATTTTTGCTTGACAATTAAAAGGTAAAATTCGTATTTGCGTGACATATTCTGTCATGCAAAAAAGTTGGCCGGACTTCAATTTCTTCAGCAAATCTGTGACAAATACCCAAATTGCGGGACAGTTAGACGCCCTGATGTTAATCATGATGCATCACATTTCAATTTTCCAAAAGTATCAAACAGCAACTGAAATAGTTATTGGATTTAGTTTATAGCCAAACATTTGTATAGCAAGCTATTCCTCTATCAAAGACGCAGATCAGATTTGATTTTTATTGGTGGCATGTTAGTTCACTTAAAGAGGGAGAACATACCAATGCCATGATAAATATATAAAAACTGCCTAAATTGAAGTGAATTGCTCAGTTACACCCTGTACTTCAATTAAACTTGCTCATTTTGTTAACAGAGTTTTCCTCATAACTTTATTTTATTGATTTCAACATTCTTTACCACAGAATTGAGTGTTAGACAGGTGAGAAAATAATCCAAATAAACCTATGAATCCTTCATTTATTTTATGTTTATTTAAATTATTCCTCTTAAAATAAAAGGATATTTACTGTGGCTCAGAATTTACAATGAACTAGTACAGTTATAAGCGCAAATACACAAGTAATTAAATAGGTGTTTAATTTATATTATCTTGTAGAAATGAATCTAAATGATAAAGTCTATGAATCCCATTATCACTTTCAACACATTCTCTCAAGGGGGGGGGGGGGCTGTATGTAGCTAGACCTTAATACTACATGTAAATCAATGTACATGTACATGTATGTAGTTTATATCTTGGTGTTTATAATTTGTTTCCAATTTGTGGCCATGTCTAGGAACAGAGAACCTTTATTGGTCATTAAAATAAGAGATAATTCATTTAGAGTGGTAGAAAATTGAGTGGTTAATCACCCTCTAATGACCTGCTGAGCCTGAATTGTCTGATGACAAATGGAGCTGTTCTTTTAAAGTGTCATTCAGCTGTTTTAACCTGTCATTTTCCAGGTTTTAACCTGTCATTTTGAGGCTCTGGTCATCTACAAGGAAAGATCACAAAGAACAGGCCAACTGAGTTTATATAGAATAATTCAAAACAACTCATAACCATATATTTCAGACTGGTAAAAATATATAAGATCAATAACAAACAGACATATTGTCACTTTGATGTCTGTGGGCATTTAGTGATTAGAGCAAGCCATGTGATTTCAAGTAGGGAAAGTAGGGGAGCTATAGGTATTGCTTACAGGATACTTTCAGTTTTTGGTGTAGTGTTAGGAAATCTTGTTTCAAATACAACAATATTGGATTGCAGGTGGCATTAACTGAAACATACATACCTATTTAATTGAATTACCTCAATGATGCTATTATAGTCTGTTGCATAAAACATTTGGAAATTACGAGATTCATTTTTAGTTCAATCCCTCCAGATATGCCAGTGGTACCCTGATTCTTGAATATATATTGTGAGTATGGATATGTTTTGTGAATCTTACATTCATATTTACGTGTATGAATATATGTGTGGTGGGATTGAGCCAAGTGAAAAATACAAATAAATGTCTGGGAAAACAGAAGATAAGAATGTTTTCTAATGTAAATTCTGCTTATCTGTTACAGCCATTTACCTGTTTTCATGATGTTATTTCAGCAGATATCTTATGAAGTGATCACTCCTCAGGAAATATGAGCCATATATTGGGGTCAATAAGTGAAGGGTGTTAAGCATTAACTCACTTTTATCTCTATTTTTACATTTATATCAGTATTAATGACTGTGAGAAAGAGCAATATTTGTGGAGTGGGGGTTTATCTTAGTGGTCATTTCCAGTAGATTCTTCAAATCATGAAATCCTCAGGATAAACTAGGCTACCAATAAGTCTCTGACCCCCCCCCCCTCTCTCTCTCTCCTCCCTTACCAGTATGTATTTCCATTCCCAGTTTGTAGAAGGTGTGTATTTTAGTGGGGAGGGGGTGTACATAGAATCTGTTTAGCTTTGAGAAGAATTACAGTGTTACCCCAAAAACAAACAGAACCTAAAAATCTTTAAATGGTTTTGGGTCACCCTGTACAGTATTTGATCTTCCCTGTCATTATTGTGATTTGGAACTTTGTTGTCAAAAAGTCATCAGGATTTTCTCTAATAAATATTCACAGATAAATTTCACATTCCATAAAAAAGCTTTGAATGTTAGGGTTATAAAAACTACACATGTAGTACAAAGAAGTTATATGGTTAATGCTCTCTAATACTGTTGGATCTGCCTGTAGCTTATGTCTTGCATAATCAAAATGGGCAATGTTGCTATATTGCCAGAAATACACATGCATTCATAATCTATTACATGTATATGCTTTAATATTATGAAGTACTTAAATAAAAATGCAAGTTGAAATATTAGGTATTCTGTAATTTTAGGTAATGGTACTTTAATGTCATGAAAAATATATTTAAATAAAATTTAAATAATTGATTTTATGTAATAATGTATTTTCAGGAGAAAGCCCATTAAATGAAGTGAACAAAGCTGAAGTAAAGAATCAAACTCGAACTTGACAAAATGGCTGGATCTAAATTAACCTGCTGTAAATGCCGTCTGAATTTACTCTGGTCGATTTGGTACTGTGCCCTAGTTCTTGGAGCGCAAGGATATCTGGTATACAGAGCAGTGCAAAGGGTCCAGTATTTTAACCAAGTAACATGGCAACGGGACAATAAACCAACAATTCAAATCGGGATATACATCGGCTTTATTGGACTATCAGTACTTTGTATGCCATTTTTTGTCTGCTGCGCTCTTATGAAAATTGGAAACTATGCGAACGATGGTGTTAAACTTGGGAGAGACTATGAAAAAACTCAAGGAGTTGGGGAGACTGACAGACCCAGTAGATTGAAGTGTCTGTGGCAGTTGATGGGGCCTCCAGCACAATTTTTCCATATTCTGTCAGCATTTCTGTTGCTAGTGCCAACAGTGTTCCTGGAGGGTGAAGAGGTCAAGCAAGGGATGAAACATCCAAGTGAGTATGATACTCTGTTTGTATATGGCAAACCTTTTTTCAAGTGATCCCTTATAAAAATCTTTACAGGTGATACATTGTTGAAATAAATCATAGGAAAGCAAGACACAAAGTCCAAATATGAAAGAAAATTGGGTCAATGAAATTGAAAAAATGTTTAATTTTCCAAGACATTTTTTAATGAAAAAGAATTTAAGTGCAATCTATACACCATGTGTTGGATAAAATGAACTTTTTATAAGATCAAATACTGCCTGGCTACTCTCACATGTTCCTCTTGAAATGTAAAGTGTCCCGTCCTCGGAAATCTTAACACTGTCTCCAATTTTATGATACAAATTTATTTTTAAGTAGTTTCAAAGTAAAAAAAGAAATATGAAACATGTGAGAATATTTGTTTAGTTAATTTAACATGGTTTTTGTCCAGGGATTTGTCTCTATGACCACTTGAGCTGACTTTGCTGTTTTTCTCTTGGACACTTGATCTAGGCGTTGAATTTGTCCTTTGCATGTGCCCTATTTCACAAACAATTATTCATTTTGATTAGTTAAAAATGTGAGTGAATTTTAGCTTGAATGCCCAATTTGAGTCTTTTAGTGATTAAAATAGTAAGGGGAGAGGTCCATTAATCTTTCTTGGATATTTGACCAGACCCACCATGGAAAATGAATGTGGCTAAATACCTAGAATAGCAAAGTGGATAGTGAAACCATCAAAAACCTCAAAAATTTAAACCCAGATATAGCTAAGAGTAATTTATACAGAAACATTGATAGTGGGTCAATAACTTACAGACCACAGCCAAATTTTAATATGAAATGTTTGTTAAACTGTTAAGGTGTAAAGTAGTAGCAAATGGTAATTTGGCTCATTAACTTGAAGTCTTAGAAACTGACATCTTTAGCAAACAGGTCCAGTATAAATTACATAATGAAACCTGTTTGTAGAACACCTCTGTAAATGGAACACCTCCATAGATGGAACACTTTTCAGACTCCTGTGACCCACTGACTTATGTTAAATGAACCTTTATAAGTGTAACACCTCCAAAGTGGAACACTTTTTAGTGGTACCAAAGATGTTCCACTTATACCAGTTTCAGTATATAAAAGTAATAATGTCAACACCACAAGTGGTGTTCGGTGGTTATTGCTCAGCATCTGTAACAAATGACAGGTAGTGTTACTCATGCCACAGTGTCATCCTACTTGACTTTTCACTTCACCTTCACAATGTAGTGAGGTAGGGGGGGGGGGGGGGGGGGGGGATGAGGGGTGGCAGTGAGGGGGTTCAGAGACATGATACAAGGCTAGCATAAATGCTAATTACACTGTAATTATTAATCTTTGCGATTTTTCATTCTGTGTGTATTTATTGAAATTAAAGTAATAAAATGAACTACAAAAGTTATCCCATTCAACCCACTTTTAAGTAATGACACATTAGATGTCACATTTAATTAACTCAAACCTAGATGATGAAGATGGGGTAGCTTTGTCTCTTTGTGCTTTCATCAATGAACAATTCCCTCAACATTGGTCCTGGAATTCATCAAGATCAACACCACTATGAATGCAGGATTCACCTGTTATCATTTACTCCCACAACCAACTGATTTGCCCAAAACCACCAACTCACAACACAAACCTGGATAATGTGTTTAAAACATTCAAACGTGAGATTTTTGGAATACTTGTGACCACAACTTGCTTTTTACAGCTAGTTCAGTAATTGCCCAAGAATAGAGAGTTGTTTTTGAAACTTGATATTCTTGTGGCCACATTTTGGTAGAGCCTATCTCTTTGTATTTGTTTGTATCTAATTACCTGTAAAGGGCATTGGAGGATAATGTGAAATATAAGGATGCCTCCCAGGTGAATGAAATGGAAAAAACCTGGTAAAAGGAAGGAATAGGTTTAATAATTAGAGCAGGGATCTAATCTTGAAAGGAGATTTTGCTTCAAACCATGATATTAATATTTTAATTTGTTTTAAATTGTTAGCTTCTATAAAGATGCACATTATGTATTTATCTGAATCAAAAGTACAGTTTCGATATAACAGTCTTTTATTTATTCAGTTTTAAGTGAATGATTCAGAGCTCTATCAGAAAATAGTAAATGATGGAAAATAGAAAAACAAAAAATAGTGACTTAGGTGACATCTATACAAATCAACCTGATAAATTACTAGATATTTTCCAATTTTAAACAACACTGAGGCTTCCCTGCCTCACTTCTAAAATACCAAGCATAAATGTTAATAGAATGATAAGTTGTCAAATTTTTACCCCTCAATTTAAATTGCTAAGTATATGCATTGCTTTGTCTACTTGCAGATGCTGCCTGGTCCTCCGAATTGGGCTTTATATTCGGCAATAGTGCCAATGACCATGTTAACCTCAATGCAACATCTGGTGGAGCAGCCCTATTAGGGTCACCTGTATACAGCAATGTACCATCCCCAGAGTGGTTCAACTATGTTGCCTCCCTATTGGTCCTCTCTGTGCGCTACCCTAGTGTCTTCTGGTACACAAACAAACCCTTCAGTGCGATATTCTCCATTATGCTACTCATCAACACTGCCATCTATCTGTTATCTCATACTGGATTTACTGTACTTTATAAATTATCATGCACAGCTGGGAAGCTGAATCAAGAGATTGGTACTGTGTTACCAAGCAGTGCCGTTGCCCTGCTTTACTTCTTCTCCAATTCAGTCGTCTACTTCTCCATGATTGCTATATTTCTGTATGGTTACTTTCACTATATGGAGCATTTCAGGAAGTACCGAGCAGTTGTGCACTCCGCGTATGTTAAACCAGCCAATGAGGTTCAAAGTAGTTGTCTTGGTTATCTACCCCATATCGTTGCCACGGTGATGTTGTTGCTAATGGCTGCTGGGAAGTCACCCCTTGTCTATGACTATGTTAGTGTGTATAGAGAGACATATGACAGTCTCATGCTTGCTTGCATGATTGCAGATGTCTCCTTTATGCTGCTCTGGGTTCTAATGTGGTTTGGATTCACACTGAAACTAAACTGGGTTTTCAAAGTGAGCAATGGAGCATTCATTGAGCCAAAAACAAACCTGGTATGTGGTTCCCATGGAGAACAGCTCAAACCCCAATCCCAACAAGCAACAGAGGAGGTTGCCCTGGCAACTGATGCAGCAAATAGGCAAAGTAGCAACCACACCATTGCAGTTGTAGCTGAAACCAATGAGGACTCATTAGATAGTTCAGATCAGCCAGAATCTTCTCAATTACTGCATCAGAACGCAACTCAGAGACTAAAACAATCCAAGCTGAATAAAGCACCAAACCAACGTGTCACATTCGAAGATGATGATACCAAATTAAAACGTGTAGCTAATGGTGTTAGACCTCCAACAACTGGAGAGGGGTCTGATGTAAGGGCTGCTGGAAGTAGGAGGGTTACAGGGGGCAGCTGTCAGGAACTTTCAGCTACTTCCCCCAATTTTATAGGAACATCTACCCCAGAGAATACCCTAACAAGGCAATATAGACATAGCCTGCGTAGTAAATGTGGCCAGTACTTCTATAGCGATGAAAACTTAGGAGCATGTATACCCGAAGAAGAGGACAATTTTAACCATAATGCAATGAGTCAGAGGAACTCAATCGCCAGGGCATCTTTCCCAAGGACAGTCCCCACAGTAATGCCACAAAGGAACAGTAGTGGTAGCAATTATGCTCAGTACAACATAAGTAATCCAAACATAAACACAAACCATCTTTATGGTAACTATGGCAACCCTGCATTGTTACATCAGTATGCAAGCAATATGAATCAGATGCAACAAATGCAAGCCCCAGCTTTACCACCAAAAAGAGGCACAAAGCGTAATTACTCAGATGATATCGTAGGAAACAACAATGAAGGATTTTATGAAAATATTGTAAGAAATGTACCAGTGGGGAAATCTCCGAACCCAAAGCTAGGTTATGCTGGGGCTAATGCCTCTATGGCAGTTCCCAAAAGGCATCCAATGTATGACAGACTACCTGACCCCCCTAGGGAGTTAAAAATTGTTATGAGAGGTAAACAGAACATTGGTCGACGTGATTCAGCTAATTATTCATTAACCTCATCTCAGGAAACTTCTTCAACTGAATCGGAATCTCCTAATATGTTATGTAGCCAAGTGTAGTGGAACAACTTTTGATAAAATAGAAATCTGGTCATGCAGTAATAAACAATTTTATCTCCCCCATTGAATTGAACTAATGCTTCAGTCACATTTGATATATGGCAACAGTACGACAGCCGTAGCTTCCCAAACTCGTGAGAGATATTCAGCATGAAATAGAGGGATAAGAGATTTTCTATATCGATTTTGTGAAGCTACGGCCGCCATATAGCAAATGTGACCAAGGCTTAAGTACATGAAATATTATGCATTTCTACTGAAATTATATTTGAAGTTACAGTTTTCATTAATTTATTGTTTTTAAGAGGCATTAAGATATAAAAAGTGAACTAATAAGTTAGGTTTGCACCCCATGTAATACATGTATTGAGTGATCGACTTGCAATGCATTTTTTGATTGGCCTGAGAAAGATTTGTGTTGGTCAATCCTATAAAACATGTGAGCTTACAACAATTCAGAATAAACAAGTTTAGTTGAAATGAACATATTTTGGTAGAACCTGAACTCATTGTATTCAACACTTTAAGTTTCAATATGAATCATATTAATTCATGATCATAGCCAAAATATATCTATATTGTACATTTGTATATAGTCATATTTTATAGTATTAATACATATTTTTACATAATTGTATATGCTGATATGTTGTTTATTTATGTTCTACTTTCAAACCTTTCTGAGCAAGGGTGTTACGTACATAGTGTTAGCATTATTATGTCACCACCACAAGTTGTTATGGTTACCAACTTTTTTTGTGGATTGCGTTCGGTGTTTGGTTGTTGGCGTCTGTTGCAAATGGCGGATGGTTACATTTTGCATGTAAATGCCTTGTTACAATTTATTAAACACTATTTTGTTGACCAATCCGATGATATATTTTCCCATTGGTGCATAATTATTAAATTGATATTTGGACCCTACTGTTATTTTATCTTAGACTTCCAAGGTGGTTATACTTCCAAGGTGGTTATACTTCCAAGGTGGTTATACTTCCAAGGTGGTTATACTTTCAAGGTGGTTATACTTCCAAGGTGGTTATACTTTCAAGGTGGTTATACTTCCAAGGTGGTTATACTTCCAAGGTGGTTATACTTTCAAGGTGGTTATACTTCCAAGGTGGTTATACTTCCAAGGTGGTTATACTTCCAAGGTGGTTATACTTTCAAGGTGGTTATACTTCCAAGGTGGTTATACTTCCAAGGTGGTTATACTTTCAAGGTGGTTATACTTCCAAGGTGGTTATACTTCCAAGGTGGTTATACTTCCAAGGTGGTTATACTTCCAAAGTGGTTATACTTCCAAGGTGGTTATACTTTCAAAGTGGTTATACTTCCAAGGTGGTTATACTTTCAAGGTGGTTATACTTCCAAGGTGGTTATACTTCCAAGGTGGTTATACTTTCAAGGTGGTTATAATACACATTGAAGTTTGAGCAACTGAAACCTTGTGAATCAAGATGCTGTTTATTTAGCATACACCTGTTCTCATATTGGGAAAATATGAATACACCTTTATATTTAATAATGATACAACCCAAAAAGAGGTCTGTGATACCATGGGCTTTCCACAGACTTGAAAGTCCATGGTGATAGTAACATTCTTTCCTGAAAATACCTGAAAAATTCTCATTAAGATGGCATACACATCTTTATATTCTAAAAGCAATGTAACCAATCATTTTCAAGCCTTAAGTATTTACCGACAGGTCTTTATATATATAATATTTTATTTCAAAACAGTATTTACGTTGAATTTGAATATTACAATTTACAACTCGGGGGGGGGGGGCGAGTTTACGTATTGGATTGTTTCATGCAAGAGGGTAGCCATGATTTTCCATTTGTTTTCCTGTCCTTAATTCTTTTTGTTTCTTTTTTCTTATTTTCTTTCTCGGGTTATTCTGATTTTCACTTTTGGTGTATTTTAGGATCATAAATAATCGACAACGATCCACTTTAATGTTGAACTAACTTTTGAAGTATTTGTGAGTTTTATCCAGCTGCTCACTGATGAGCTATGCAACATCACTAATAATGACATCTATATTACCACAGTCTATTTCCTAACATATATGTTTGGAGTGAGAATTTTTATTTTCCTTATGACTGGCTCCGGACTGGCTGTGCTACTTTTAGCTGTTTTTATGACAACTTCATCTTGATTCACAAAGTTTCGGTTGCCCCAACTTGTGTAATGACAACTTGGAAGTCGAAGATGTGATAATTAAGAAGTCTTTCATCTTTCACACTTGTACTTACATATTTATCACACTCGCACTTATAGATATCATCCATGTCATCATAGTGATACAATTATATTTTATAGTAATCAGATAATATATTCCCAATGATTCATGTAACATTTCGAAAGCTTCTTTTTAATAAGTTTTAGTTTGGCCATTTTTACAATTTACTTTACAATTCTATTTTCCCAATGATTTCCTGATTTTTATGTCACCACCACACCATGTGGTGACATATTGTTACAGTGTCCTGTGATGAAGGAAATTCTTTCGTTTTCGATAAACCTCCGATTTCAGCTAAACTAAGTTGAATCTGGATTCCAAATGTTTCGCAATGCAAATTAATAAAGGTACGATGGTAAATAACCACAAATAAATGCTCAAACAACCGCGATATTGGAGAATTTTAAAGAAAATGGCTTCACTTAGAATTCTTCATCCTAGCGTGTTCAACTTTTTTTGTAGTGGCTGTTGGGGTTCGGAGTTTGGCGTCTGTAACAAATGGCAGGTGGTGGTATTTTACATCTTAATGCCTTGTTAATGTATTTCATTTTGGAACAATCATTTCATTCTAAATATCGTGTTAATTGTTACAAAAATGTCTACGGCGTACGATAGATGTCAGCGATAGATCTGGATAATGTGAAGAAGGATTCACAGCTTATATTCACAGGTGATAATAGACCATGCTTGAAAAATACCACATAAGTTCATAAATAGATGTCACTATCCGACTATTCGCTTTTCTGTAATATACTTTGTCCGAGCTGATTTTACTTTTATATGATTTCATATGATGACATTGATATCATCGGCTTTTATCGCATTTTCCTTTGTTATATCCTTATTTTTCATATCATGCAGCCTCGGTACACTGTTTGCCCCTCATGTAGGACTTTACTGTAGGTTTATAAGGCTGATATCGCAGATAGGTTTTAGGACCATTGTCTTACTCATTGACGGTGTAAAATGATGATCTCCTATCTTTGAAGATATTGTGTAATTCAAAACTTCTTGGATGTGTATGTCTGGAGGCATTATTCGTTTTTAAAATTCTATGTGGTTTAAACCTTTGATGGGTTGCCTTTTTGTTGTCAGTTTTATTCGTTTTTAAGTCGAAGCAAAAAATGTATAAGCTAACATTTTCAATTTGATGTTTTTGATTTACATTTATCGTTGCACAAGCCCAATTCTTCATCAAAGCGGTATTCACAGCTATTGATATTCATTTTCATTAATTTGTTTTTCAACATGTGTTGCAATGATTTCAATGACATGTCCCATATGGTTCTGTGAATTGGATGTGATTGGATTGTGATGGTAATTAATTTCTTGGGGGGGAAGGGGGTCATTGGGCAAATTGTTCCTTTGTATTAGACCATTGTTTGGGATGTTTGGGGTTTGTTATGACCGATTGCAATTGCACTCTTAATTATTTTAATGATTTTTCCTGACCATATTTGTGTACTCTTTGGTCTTCCCCATTTGGATACTCTGAGTAATTTTCCTCCAACCATTTCCAATATTTGTTATTCATAAACGTTCACCTTCAACTCTAGATGGCGTTTAACCACAAACGCTGCACAAGCCAGTGAGCAATCAACTGGCGTTTAATTGCTAAAATAATTGAGTGGCCCTTTAATTATATCGAGCCATTATTCTACGTGTATTACTCCACAGCGAAATTAAAAATAATATCCGTGTAAGTTATTCTTCAATTATCCTCTTAGAGTTATCAAATCTTCATAATATTATGTTATGACGATGAGCTTTGATGAAGATGCGGCGTTATCTGGGGTAATAAGTTAATTAGTCGAGATGAAAACATGAAGGGATAGCCTAGAAATTGAATTATGCAGACTATGTTTTAATTAGTATATCAAGATATTATTGGACTTCTGGAGACCTGTGTGGCGTGAGAAGATCCGGGGTTCCTCCACCCAAAATTATTAGTATTCATGACATCCTTTTGCAATTTTAAAGTTTGAAGATGTATATGATTTCAGGAAACAGGTTCACCTGTTAATGTATGTACATATGCTGTGCTACTTTGTTGTTCTTCAACTGTGACTTCTTGCTCGTTTGATGAGGTTGTTTGTGATTCGATGGACCTGTTATCGTTATGTGGTTTATAGAGAGATGATTACTGTTGCCTTGTACTTTGCGCTTCCACATTTTATTTAAATGTGTCTTGTGCGTTTTATAGCATATCTTTTTGATGACATATTTGAATCATTTTGATATATCAGATTCCTTCTTCGAGGGACTCCAAGGGATAATATAGACTGTTGATCCCATAACGTTTTTTTTAATACTTGTATATCCTAAAGATATTGCGGAACACAATACCGATTCAGAAAACACAAGGGGCAATACTAAGAAAACCCAATAAAACAATACCCAATAACAACATGTACATACCCTGTGGGCAGAGTCTAGTTATAAACTACCGAAGACGAAGCTCTCTTTTAAGAAGTGAAGTAGAACGAATGCAAAGGGTAATATGTGCATAGCAATAAATTAAAATGCGTGTGCCTATCCGACAACAAATAAAGACGAATCGAATTTGTGTTTGCATGTTTGGAATGAAGATTTTGAGAATAAAGATGATGGTAGTTGCTTTAACGAGGATTATCAATCCCAGTTGTAGGCTAATGATGTAGGTTGTCGTCACTGTTACAGATACAGCTGGTTTCCTTGGCTTCAAAGCGATACTACACCTCTGACAATGAATTGCACATTTATCCAAACAGTACGCTAAAAGTTGAGCCTAATTGCAAAACCATTTTGAACTTAGCATTAGCAACATCTAATCGTTTACCAGTCCCTAGATGTGTTTTGTTCTTCTTGTGTTCTGGTTTTTGTGACAGAATATAGTTCGTGAAAATGATTATCGAGATAGTTAAGATTCAGATTACAAATTTGGTTTATTTTACAAGGCACGATCTTTTGTGGGTTCTGTTTTCAATTCTCCTTTGGATTCAATAATCAACCTGTTCGATAGTTTGATTTTGCTAAGAAAGCTTCATACTCATGTAATGTACTAGGCTCTCACCCACTGAGTAGCTGAATAAAGCTGACATACTAGATGTCACCCTTATCATTCTTCATTTTGCTTGGGCCAGACTGCCATAGCCGTCCATGTTATAAACTTGCAATAGTCACTTAATTTAATGATTTATGATAAAGAATTGGTTGAAACTTTTGAAACTCATGTGGCATACTATGGGATGACCCTGCCAATGTACCTGTTGTGATTAATTATGATTATTTGGTTGTCAAACGAATAAACCAATGGTTTTAAAGAATCTTAGCATTGCATCAATGGAGATTTGGCCCAAATTTTTAAAACGTCATGGAAAATGATTTAAATGACATAACTGCATAAATCAAAGTTATTATTGCGGAAACCTTTTCACTGAATTCAAATATGTTTTTAAAAAAAGAAAGAAATGTTTGCTGTAAGAGATTAAACGTACAGATCTCTTAAAATCTCATAAGAACGAGATTAAGCGAGATTTCAAAGCTATATGGAAACTCCTCTATTCGATGTTTTTGTTTGATATTCATTAAAATGATTCTGTTCTCAGTTATTATGCTCTCGATATTTTATCAAATATAATTGTATACAATAGTATACTGCATTTGGTTCAAGTTAGTTTACTGCAAAACGGTAACCTTAAAGTGTGGTACTTTTCCGAAGTTCATGTAAATCAATTTAACATTTATGCTTTTCTAACATTCTGTGAATGGGAAAACTATTTTAATGATCTGACGATTTTAAGTTGTCAGGATGAGCTCGCTACCACACACTCAGCTCAATCGGGAAAATATATTGCTAATATGATGCGATATCAATTATGTCTTAATACTATAATTTTGTTATAAATTACTTTAGATTAACGGTCCATAATTAGTTGAGCGTTTCCCAGCGAGATCGGTGATTGAATTCTGATTTTGAGGGAGTCATATTTGTTCATATTAATTTGGATCGCTGTTCTTAATTTGAAGTAAATTAAAGTAATACATAACGTGCAGCGATACAAGACCCTCTAGAGGCGTTGAGCAAAATCAACCTTAAATCAAGGAACGCTAAATTTTCTAGAGATTCCTTGAGCATAACATATGTGCCCTGTACCTAATATAATATACTCGGTAATCGCTTCAGACATAATCATAGGCCATCATAATCCTACATTTCCATTTTAATTGAATGCCAAATCCCTTAATGATGGCCGACAGGTAGGACTATATCGAACATTGAGTGATGACAAAGGGGAATAGAAAATGTTAATTTAAGGTCTGTCACTTGATCAACTGATAACAGGTATAGTAAGCATTTAACCGAATAAATCAATAAACTTCTTGTCTTTATAATATCTTGATACAAAGGACGATTTTGGCGATGGAAAAGTCAATCTCTGCACAATTCGGAAGAATTGAACTTCGTATACTATAATTGGTTTTATGAAACGAACAATTATGATATACATTTTTGAAGAAATTTGATTAATATTTTTGACGATCGGTCGCCGGTTCATTTAGATAATGTGTTCTTTATTCCTACAACCTGAGAAATTAATTTCAAAGCTGGCGAATCTGGCGTTTGGTAATTGAAATAATTACTGGCATCCTTGGACTGATTCAACGATTTGTTCCCCACTCTGATTTTCTTTTTCAGTATTATTGAGGAGTACATTATGTCATACCCCTATATAGGGTCTTGGCTCGTTGATGTTATACTACAAATTTTGCCAAACTAATGATCCATCGCTATTTTCAGGATATTAGAAATCCAAATAAACTATAGTTCATTGGACCGAAAAGACGAAGGTATAAAAATGAAATTATGTTTATAATTATAAATATTTATTTCAATAATTTGTATAAGTATTTACAGACTATAGGACGATACCCAAATTATGTTGGTTTAAAAATAAATACATATTGCATTTAAAATTGTATTTACACCAAGTCTTGACCATTTTGACCATTGTCTTAAGACTAAAATATTGGTCAATGTCTTCATATAAAAGTCTTGCACCTAAATACTCATGTTTTTATCACCCATGGCATCAGGCAATATATCGTATCAATAAACGGCAAAAAATGAAAATAATTGAAGCAATGGTAGGTTCGCTCCATAGTTTCATGCAAAACTATGGAGCAAATAAAGTTAACGGTGATTTTATATGATTGGCATTATATCATTGTCGTTCTAAATTTTGAGTTGAGATATGATACTGAAGACTAGATGTACATAGAAATATAGGTTTGCATGAATTTCAGGATGCAAATACCATGGCCCCTGAATAATACCATAATTATTGACTCATTTATGATTTAATATAATAATATTTCTGATATCTTAGTGTGTCATGGACTTTCCGCAATGAGTGTAGTTTTGGGAAAACATGCATTGAATGCTTGAAACTGTTAACAATAAATAATACATAATGGGTATCTGATTTCTAAATTGAAGACTGGCTGAAGTATGGGTAATATAATTGTCCACCCGCTCCTGAGTAATTCTGAGGCTGTCGAAGGAGGCTGAGGGCACTGATAGCGCTGGCACTGGACAGATAGGGAGGTAGGCCGTGTCCGTACAATAGACTTGAGTTGTAACTGCTCCCATACCCGCCTAGACCGCCCATAGTACTTGGGCTGATCGTGGGCCCGTTAATGTCCATACCAGGGTGCTGTTTCTTCCATTTTGTACGCCTGTTTTGGAACCATATCTTTACTTGTGTTTCCGTTAGGTTCAGCGAGAGCGCCAAGTTCAGTCTCTCACACACTGACAGGTATCTCGTTGTCTTGAATTTGTTTTCCAGAGCAACTAATTGTTCATATGTGAATGCTGTTCTCGCTCTTCGAGGTTTGCCACCAGATTTGTCGAAACAGTCTTTGTCGTCATCTGCAAGATCGTTTCCGTCGTCATCATCTCGCAAAATCTCGCTCTCGCAGGGTGATGACGATCTGGAGGTGTCATTTTCGTTCTCAAGTTTCATTTTTTCCACATGGGCCTGATATTCTGCTGCAATAACAAAAAATGATGACATAAGAGAACTGTTATATATTATATTGGGAAAAAACAAAACAACGTTCATCACAAGACTTTTACTTGCATATTCAAAATTAGGTTCCGCTGTATCACTATCCCGGATCACTATCAACCAGAAGAGCATTCTTAGTTTTATCAGATGATCACTTAAAAGATTCGATATGTGCAGTAAAAGATACTGTTGATCGCAATAAAATCTGAGAGATTAATTGGATCATGATGGACACATTTGATCTAATTATTAGCATGATTGTGAGCGATTAACGTACAGGCAAGTGTGGTTGATCATTGATACAGGCAGTTTGATCAAAGAAATTTATCTCATGTGTGAACACAGAAGTCAGGCCTGTAAATGCACAATCTTAAAGTGTATCCTCCGACGGAAAAGGCTACTAATTTAATTTGCTCATATGTCTTATCAACAACACCAAAAATGCAGCTCATCAATTTAACTAAAATATCCCGCGAACAGAAAAAACATTCCTTTTTCAGGAATCTGACAAATTGATATTGCCATATTTCCATGGTGATGTTATGTTGATATATCAGTTTTCACTGTTGGTTTATCTTTATAATTTGTTTATACTTCTGCATTCATAATATTTACACTGACAAGGGGTATCAGCACGTGTTAAGATGAATGATTAGATTCCTCCACTTTAAGATGTAATCCCATAAATGAGAAAAGTATTGATGCAACCGTTCATCTTCGCATTTAAATATTCATCGATAATGATCAATCCACAAAGAACGATCGTCTCATAATCTAATTCGTGTGATCACTAAATAGTCAAATGTGTCAAATTTTGATCCTATTATTTTGATATTTCGATAAAATTCTTTTCATCAGTTATTGATTATGAAATATGAGATGATACGAGTAACAGAAAGAAAATCATTTCACATCCGCTGCTGCTCTCATTTCAGGATCATTTATTAACGATCCCGTAAATATTAATAAAAAATGTCCAAGAATGAATGCGAAAGGGTTACGCTAGGTGTGTGTTTATAAGTTAATTGTTCATGTTTGATATCAGAAACCCATCGTTTAATTAATAGCCTGAATTATACCCCAATGATCTTAGTACAGTTTGACATGTTATTAGTCTATCAGATGATGTCACGTAATAACAAGACTGTCAACCAAACATATAGCTTCGTTTAGAGTTTAAAGGCAAATACTAGAAGGTGTCAAAGAGCGTTATTCTCTACAAGAGTATAGTAATTTACTATAATTTCGGAATTAGCAAAATCTTTAGCCTGTTATTATTTAAAAGTGTTGCTATGGTGACCGTTTATAAATCATCTATGTTCCCCATTAAGAGTGGGGTAACACCGCCGTCATTATAATTGATATGTTCCTCTAGTAATGTTTAAATTAAAAAGCAAAGATGTTCCTTGAATGCAATTTTATTGAGATTATAATCCTAATATAATACTGTAAATTAATTTGTCAGCATTAACGTTGAATTAGCGCTCTCAGAATCGAAGCGACTCGTCTACTACCTAAAGCCCGGCTTTATGGAATTACATACTTAAAGCGAGTATAAATGAACAACAGATAATCTCTTAAGGCTCTTTAGCCCCACTTGAGGAAACTAATGCAAAAACACCAGAAGAAGGTATTATCTCGTGAAAAAGATAAATTACAAATTTATTAACAATCAATGATTTCATAAGTGCGTGTCCAAGGTTCTCTATTACGATGAAGAGAGATCTTCATTAAAAACGCATTAACTCTAGAATACCTGTGATTACGGCAGTTAACATATTTCCATTTTTACAATCTGTTCTCGTTGCAAAGGCAATCATCAATTAATTCTATTTGTCATAGCCAGGATATTGATATATTATTATTAGTCAATTGAATTTATAATTTTATCAATTTGTCTATTTGTTTGTTTTATTCTTTTGGAATGAAATATTCCAACTACAGATTCAATCCTCTTCAGATATTTCTAAAATTTTATTATATTTTTTGCATTTGTGCTATTTTGCTTTTCAGATTCCATTACTGTGCTTTAGCGAAAAATGTAATAAAAATATTAAGCCATTTAAAAAAATCACTTTACTATATTTGTTTTCTATGATAAAGATAAAGATAAATTATAAATTTATTATCTTGTCTTGTAATTTGTTTTGACTATAAGTAAAATGACTTAGCCTGAAAATGGCAAAATGTGTGTTTTATATTCCACGAAAAGTGAAGTGATGTATTAACGTTGTTTCATTAGTCCACTTTATATAATTAATTGGGATGTCGGGGCATGGTTCTTGGCCGGTTGTAGTCGTCTAGATATTCCCCAAACTTTAGTTTTATTTCTTTTTGGTATTTTGGGATTTTCCCATTGTTCACCTGTGCTTACATGTTAAATTCATTCTTTCAAAATTTTCCAAGTTGTTCATAAATTAATTTTCCCTATCAATAAGATAGGTGTGTTGAATGGGCCAATTCAACATGTAAAGTCTCCAGATGGAAACGGTGCATCCGATTACACGTGTAAACCCCCACTCATACTCAATTAGAGAAGTCGGGATAATTGTCACTTGGTATCGCATCCTGTTATTTGAAGAAATTGATACTTCTTTGGGAGACGCGGAAACTACTTTGTCATGTTCTGTCATTTGACTCTATGCTTTCTTATGTTGAGTGGTGGTTATAGTTATAGTTAAGTGAAACTTGAACATTTTGCAGGCAGTGCACAGAAACACACAGATAGACCTGTCAAAAGGAATTTTATTTTGGTTTGAGGGGAATTTGTGTTTAGATTTTTACACCGTATAGTTTGTGGGATAATATGGGGCATATGGAATATATTAGAATCTCATCGAGCAAAAATAAAACATTCCATTTTACTTGCTAAATGACTTGCTCAATTTAATTCTATGAAAAATCTTAAGTAAGACCTAGCGTAAAATTATGTTTAGCCCAAGTAACTTCGAACTTTTTGTCAAGTTTAAGACACTCTTATATTTTATTAATATGCATTTGGGGGGGGGGGTATTTTACCAAATTATGCGTTTAGCCTTTCATTTTGCCACTAAATATGAAGTAGTGCCTTAACCTATCGCCATCCTCATCATGCCGTATATTTGTATTTATTTAAAATTTGAAGAATTGTATTTATTTAATGGTGAAATATGTTAATTAATACATTATGATAATTACTAAATGCAGCTATATAATAAACTCTTCATTGCTTCTAACCTTGACCCTCATATGGTAATTCTAGCATTAATTATTTTGTATAAACGATTTTAAAAACAATATATCTCAATTATACATACATTATTTTACATATTTTTCTCACCATTAATTTTTAATCTAAATTTGAATATATTTAACATTGTTAGAAATGGTATATGGGACGTACCTGGCCTGCTTGCGAGTGCAGCCGCGTGTGCTTGTTGAATGGCTCTACTTAGTACCTGGTCTTTCATCTCCTGCCACGGGTGCCATACCCTCGGTCTTTTCACAGGGGTACCTTTAAATTTACACGGGTCTAAAATGTCTAAAACACTAAATGGAGTTACTCTCGGCATTCTGTCATCAATACAATCATTACTGGCTTCATCTGCAGCATTGTCATTGTCATCATTTAGTTTTCTTTTTTGATTTATGTTTTTTGAAGTGTTGCTTATGTCATTCGATCTACATTGCGGCATGAACCGTCCATTGTTTATTACGGGCACATTTACTACGTTGTATTTCATTCCCAAATTCTGGATATTGTCTTTGGTCTCTTCAGATTTGTTTTCCTTGGCAAGTTGGTTCTTCTTTATATCGACTATGTCCATTTTTAAGTTTAATGCTTCTTCATCGTCAGAGTTATTTTCGATTTCAATCGGGCTCACTGGACGCTGAATCGCCATTTTATAATACACCTCTCTAATGTCTTACGAGATACTTCTTCAATAAACTACGTTACTTCTTTAAATATTAAATCACTTTAAAATTAATGGATTCTCAAAACGACTGGGCTCCCCTAGACGTCATTCCAGTGCATTGCAGCTTCGTGTACTATCAGCATTTACTAGCTTTATATGTGAGCTTCGGTTGATCTTGTCATACGGCATCCAGATGCGCTGGTCTTAGGATATCAATATCGTCACTCTGCGGTCTTTGACAAGTTAAACGATTACACAGTTTGACTCTTTTTCTTCCACTATTTTCTTCTGAGTAAAGTTGAACAATGTCTCTTGTATTTACTTTAAAGTTTAAAAACTATTTAGCAATCTTAGAAGCGTTGAATGTCAGGCGATCTTATCGTCTAAAAAGCTAACTCTTTAAAAGTGACTCTTCTTTCCGCTTGTTAATAGCAAATTATCAAAGTAGACAGTAGTCTAAGTTTGGTTGTTTCTCGTCTCACATCAATTCACCAGCTAACGAATGTGATGAGAGCAGGCTGAGTCTAGAAGCAGGGTCTGATTAACACTTCACGTTGGCGCATGCGCATCCAGTAACCCAATCTTGCGTTGAAGGTATTCGCTGATGCCTCAATTTAATTGATATTAGGTGGCTATTAATTTCATAGGGCGACACTAATTCGCTTTGGGTATAATTGATAACTTAAACAAGTTTAACCTGTTTCGTATTATGGCCTGTTTCGGGCAAGTGTACGGATTGAAAGATTGCGGCACGGTGCAGCCAGGCGGGCTGATTAGTGGCAGAGAACCTGTCATCTACCCACAGTTGCAGAAGATAGCAAACCCCTAATTGATTGATAAGCAGCCATTTCTGTATCTTCAACTAAATACTTCTTATTCAATTAAAGAAATCCATAATAAAGTACCGATTTGCTCGGAAATCATGTCTGTATGCAACATTTCAATTTTGTGATTCCAGTGCTAGTGATGATTGGGGAACAAGTCCCGTGGTGTGGTTTTAATTTGAATCATTTTTAATTGAGTTTTGGAGAAAGCCAAGCAGTTTCTTATAAAGAGTGTTCCAGAATTTTATGAATCATTATGAAATCTTTACTGAAATGTATATCTATAGGGCTTTCAGACTTGGGGACATTTTCTAATTCTTCCTAAGCTAAACCAATGGCCGAAATCATATTTTAAGTGTTCAAACGACCCCAGTCCAAATTAGTAATTATCCATCACGGCGTTCAGCGCAGATTTTTTCCTCAAAATCATATCCGAGTCTTTTGAATTAAGAAAAATAGGGTGGAGGATAAATTCATCCTTTTTCAAAGGACTTCATTTATGCTTTAATATTTACTCGTAAAATACCCTTGTAGTAAGGATGGATAAGTCAAATGCACGTTACATTGATTAGATATTTTGAACTTCTCAATTTCGACTTTTTGTTAAATAATACTGTGGTCGAATTAAAAGTTTCTCATTTCACTATGAAGCAGTAATAGTCCTGAGTCAAGTGAAAGCTGAACTTATCTGTGTTATTATGCGAACACCTGTCTAATATAATCTGGAATATAATGTGGCATTTAATGTGTATGGGGTCTATACTGATAATGGCGTTAAGTAAATCCACAAGGGGTTTCCAAGCAGAAACTTTAGAAATAAAACAATTATCTGCAAGTGTTCCATGGGGACTCGATGGCATCTTTCCATGGGAACTCTACCGACACATAGCTTCATCACTTCTATTCTTGTATGACAGATGTAGAGCTGGGGTGCCGATCGCAATATTAATTTTTTTAGATTTGCCGCATGTGCTTTCCGTTTTGATTTAGATCGCTTGTAGAGCGGACTTATCCCATTGTTGCTATTTGTTCCTAAGTTCCGTTTCACTAAGAAGACAGTTAGTAGGAAAAACAACATCAAGATAGTTATTGGAAATGAATAAGTGCTTCAAGAGAGTTATGAATAGATCCGATAATCCAGATAATTGTAGGGGGACTTCGCTATTTTTCTGCTCAATTTTCTAGTGCAATCAACAACAATGCCAGTCAAAATGAAAGGAATAATCTATTGAATACCGGCAAACTATCGGAAAGAGTCAATGAAATTACTGCTATTAAACATCGATTCGTTAAAAAGAGCTTCAGTTTATAGCATTTAAAAAGTGATTTAAAAGCTTAAGTTGCCGCATTACAATTGAATATATATCGATTCTTTCTACCATAAGACGACACTTGAAATGAAATTGTCAAACCTTTAGTAATTTAAAACAACTTTAGCGGAAATATGGAAGATGAATAAATGCGCTTAAAACAATCAATCGGAATAACTCGACAATATAATTTTGCCAACCTCTAATTTTGAGCCCATTATCTCTCATTTTGTCTATTTCGCCAGAAAGTGATCATATCATGCGAAGTATTAATTCTTCATAATTATAATCTTTTAAGTCGAAATGCTTCCTATGTTCTGTATCGTTTCGTAATTATTGGCGGATCTTTATTGTTCGTATAATAAAATTATCTGCCAATAGATTTAGATTGTTTTCTTTACATTTCCTTGAAAATTAAAACGCGATGAACGGAATTTATGTTACTGCAATACTATTATTAACGAATCAAATTATCGCGATTGCTATACAAGAAATAATTTGCTGAATTAATCTGTTTAACTTATGTGGAGAGAGATTCATCTTCGTGATTTATATTGGAGAATAACAACTCTTAAATATGGGTTATTTATAGGCGCGATTTAATGTAAATGTATCCCGCAAGAATACACGGAGAGGAAATTTAGAAATGTTTTTTTGACTTCTACGGTAGTGTAGTACACATCATATTATGGTAATTTGATCATTATAATAGTTATGCTATTTATCCAACGAAACACTACAATAGATATTGCATTGCATTGCATTGTATTGTAATGTATTGTATTGCATTGCATTGTATTGCATTGTATTGTATTGTGTTGTATTGTAATTGTATTGTATTTTAAATATTGTTTTGAATATTTATTTATTTATTTAGCCTCCAATACTGAAAAATAGTTGGACAATTAAAACAATCGTACACTATACCTTATGCTAATTGAACAATTACAATATCATGAATTATACATGTATACATGAGCAAAATTAGCATTGTAATTGTTTCGTAATTGTATTGTATTGTATTATATTATGTTATAATTGCATTTCATAATATTATATCTGTATCATAATGTAATAGTAATTATATTATTTGCTTCCATTACTGTTACAATGATAACCAAATGTGCAGAACATTATTTTGAAGAAATACATGAATATAATGTAATATATAAATGAGATGAGATTCTGCTACATAATATTAGAGTCTAAAACGTTGCATTTTTATATTTGAGTAAGACATAGTTGTATAGCCAAATGATGAATAATTTCCAATACATGTTGTCAGTGTTATTATTCTTTGCATTAAAGGTGAAATGCAAGATGGTTCAGGAAATCAATCCTGAAATCACTCGCTCATTTGGTAAGTACTGGCAAAGAGAATGAGGACCAAGTTTTTTATTTGTTTTTGGACGACTTAATGCAAGAGCCATCATTCATTGAAAGGACTTCATTTATTACTAAATTCATGGAAAGAAGTGAAATACCCTTGGACCAAGGATGTGCAATTGGAATCGATGATTCTTCAAGACCCACACGCTGCTCTTTCCTCTTTCCATCCGGGAATACACCCGGGGGAATTCAATCAAATCTCTGGTGTCTGCACTACGGAATGAAAGGCTTTTTCTTGGACTATAGGCCCCGGGTTCAGTGTCTCATTATCACTCCAACATCATAAAATAATGTCAATTAAGAAGTCCATTAACTTAAATCTCAGTTTATGTCATTCACCATTTGTTTTAGCTTGCTGAGATGGCGCCATGTTATAACATCGGAATTGAAGAGAAGGACACAATTAACATCGTTGAAACAGCAGCCAGTAAGATAAAAGAGCACAAGGCGTGTCCTGGAGGCAGCATAACAGGTGAATTGAACGGTATGCACAAATTAGTATATAACTATGTTCTCTAACCCATGATAACTTGCTGGAGAGATAGCGCAGGTAGCGCTCGACAGCTGAAATAGCAACTCGATGTTTTCATTACCCTGCAAATGTCCAAATTACCCGATTCCACCGATACGTTTGTGTAAAAATTGATCTAAAAAGGTACAGGGAATTGGTTGAAGGCTGCTTAAAATTGGGAAGATTTGTGAGCCCCCGGGGTTGATCTGTGAGGATGATAGGGTGTCGAAGTACTTATGTTATGCTAAGCTGCCTATTTGTTGGCTAATTAACCGCCATGATAACAAGCTACATCGGTTATGTTCCGGTGTCGGGTCTCATCATAAAGACACTATCTCCTTAGGTCACGTATCAATAACCAGCAAATAAAAAACATTCCTCACTTATTAGCCCTTATTTCTTAAGATCATATAGATACAAAACAACATATTAGTCATACTAAGAAATTTGGTTAGTACTAAAAATTTAACAGAGGAATATATGTTTGTGATTGGATCAACTAGGTTTGCAGTACTGCGCACCATCCATTGAAGTTTCTTTATTTCCACAGCTCTCTGCTGAATAAAAATGCAAGTAAAAAATGTTAATGATATTAATTCTGACTTTTATTAAAATCGTAATGTCGAAATGGATTGGAGAGTTTGCATTGCTTGTATTGTAATTTTATTGTTCTTCAGCAGTTTTTCAAATTAGGTCATCCTTTTAAGCTTGCAGCTCTAAAAAACGAGCAGTATTTGTGTTTGGTGAAGCATAGCCATATGTGTATTTGAGGCATTCATTGTACCGAAGTTCAAGTAGGGATATAAAGAAGTCGCCCGTTCGACCGTCTGTTCGTCCGTTCACGTGTCCAAACGATAACACAAACACCGGTTATCAGTTTTGATTATGGACATCGGAAATCTGCTCGATGAGAAATTGTCATATGGCCGCTCAATTCAAAATGGCCGTTTTATATTAGATATTATGTATTATACTTGTACAAAGTCGACTGACAACATATTTTAAAATGACTAGCATTTTCTGTAAAAATAACATATTTTGCTAAATCCCGAATGTCTCCCCGTCGCATTTGAAATGATATGCTTTTAGATAGCATATACGAGTATATGGTTTTATAGGTTTACATCTTCTTTCCAAGAGAGAATTGAAAAACTGCGTCAAAATTCAAAATGGCCTCTTGGGAGATGTGTCGCAGTGTGTACATTTAGCCAAAGAGTAGGTACTCTTACGCTTGATGATATTATG